AGGGTGTGACCATTGGTAGGCTGACCTATATTCCAGAGCAAGACCCACACCCAAGAGTATTTGGGTAATACAATTGGTTGTGATGACTTAAAAAAATAACAAGAAATTAGGGGAGTAGTGAGGTGGGGGCGGATCTGGGAGGAACTGAGGGAAAGGAATCAATATGATTAAAATATATTACATAAATTTTCAAAGTATTTTTATAATTTCTTAGACTGAAGTACCTCATATGATTCTTTAAATTTGGGGGTTCTTCAGATTTTCAAGAAAATATTTTCTGAAATGAAGAAACTTTGTTTCTTAAGTATAATCTAAAAGGTACAAAATGAGGTGACTTGACATCCTAAAATGGTAGATCAGTAGCTTTTGATGACAAAGTTCAGAAGAATATCAGAAATTAAAATGAGAAAAAAATGGTCCCTTAAACTCCCATTAAACTAGTGTGTAGCCTACACATAGAGGCAAGGTCCTGTCATCTAAGTGCTCAAGAGGCTGAAGCAGGGGGCATGCCAGGAGCTGAGGCCATCCTGTTCTATACAGAGAATTTCAGGGAAGCTAAGGTTTCAAAGTGAAACCATATTTGACTTTTAAAAAAACAAACATAAAAATGTCAGAAAAGAACTACTTAGTGGTTTCCTAGAATCTTGAGGTTAGATATTCAGAGAAATAAGTCTGTTTCCTTTATCAGAGATGATCTTCCTAAACTCCATGAATGTGTTACTGTAGGATGGCCCTACCACTTGAAGAGACTTCGAAGGGTCCATAGTTCCTCAGTTTATTCCCTGGAATGCTTGTTTTTTTCTGGTGCTAAGTATTTGTACCTAGGCTCTTATGCATATTAGACAATGAATCTTACTACCACACAATACCCAGGCCCCCAAATACTAAAGATGGGATGTTAATGGAACTGTCTTCTATTTGAGATGACCCTGAGTCTTCATCTTCATCAATCTAACTCTCAAACATCCAGTTCTGAGAGGACACTACAGAGTAACTCCACTCAGTTAGGAAACATTTACTCATTTCAATAAAGTTTTAAACACCCAGTCTAAAATTAAGATACATGTAGTAAAATACCATAATGAAACCGATTACTTTATATGCTAACATAAAATGAGTTTTTAAAAAATTTTTATCTACATTCTTTAAGCAAATCTTTATATATGTGCCATTTTAAAATAACATCTAAGCAAAAGCTAGAGTCTGTTGTTACTTTGTAATTTTTCCCCAAGACACAACAATGCTAAATGTAGCTAAATGAAAATGACAAGCTATATTCTATATGTCCAAACTGGTTTTTCCCCTTGTGCAGAATCAGAGATTTTCATTTCAACTTTGTCCTTTAACATTTTTCAAATGTTACATTGTGCTATTTTTAATGTGGAAAAATGTGCATGTGCTCTTTTTGTTAGTTTCTACAGCTTGACTAGTATGTATTGAAACAGATGGAATGCCCAAATACCAATACAGAGTAAAACAAAGAAAGACTTGGACACTTGTTAAATTCTGGGCTAGGCATAGCCGGCTTTTCTAATATCTTTGTGCCAGTCTTGACATTGTTCACTTACATAAGATGCTATTGAAGGAAACTGGCTCAAAGGTACTTGGAGTCCCCCTAATGTTCTCTGTAAATATGTGATCCCATGATTATAATTATAAATAATACTCATTGCCCAAATAACTTGACTACAGATTCCTAAGTATTTTGTTCTAGTGTATCTGTCCTTCTAGGACCAGTGCAGGAGAGAAGTTAGCTTGTAGAAACCCTAGAGATTCTGATTCACTAGAGATAAGACATGGGTATCTTGAAATGGAACCTGCCAAACATCCCAGTTCTGAGGCAGAAAATGTGGCTGGAGAAGGACCATACCCCAACAGAAAGCTATAAACAGCACACTGAGCAGGAACTCATCACTAGATCCTGGCAAAACATGTCACTGTTCTGACTTTGCTAGGTTAGGGATGCATTTGAGAATTCATAGGCAAAGAAATGGAACCAGTGCTTAAGCAATCAAGAGACTAGATATCATCCTTACCTGGGCATGTGGCAAGTCAGAGTAGGTACCATCTTCACTAACTAGGTGAACAAGTTTGCCTGCTTGATGTTGTGTTCTTTCAATGAGATTTCATTTCTAAGATGGAAAGTCAAAAACAGGCCCACCTAAGGTTATGTTTGGGAATGTCAGTTAACTAATGAGTTTCTAATGACCTCAAAACTCTGAAATGGACTGTCTAGAGGGGAAAATAAAATGCCATCTGAAAACCTTAAGTCAGATAAGCCATTAACTTCAGATTAAAACATTTTTCAGACAGTAACTCGGGTTAAGCTGGTAATAAATTACCACTTGTGGAGAACTCTATACTTTTTAATAATGTATGATATATGAATTTTGATAAGTGTGCTTTAATTTCCTGCTTAATAGTTGTTTTATTCTCTGTAATTAGCCACCTTTGTGTTATCCAACAGTCAACTTCCATTGTAAAATTCTTGCTTCTTTCTCTTATCTAAATCTTTGAGGACAAAAACATCTCAAAAAAGTCTGGGTATATTCTGCTTTGAAAGCTATAAGCATCTGTTGTTCTAGAATGGTTGTTTCACTTGAGCCAAATGGTTTCCCTATAATTAAAAGCTAATTTGTTGAAATGGTGAAAATAGTGGTTTAAGCTTCAAGCGTTTTCCATCCCGCTCTCTGATACAGCATTGTACGGTGTTGCTACATTATTTCCTGAAGAGAAATTTTAGAAATTATGTGATTCAATTTTTTTTTTAAATTACTTGAGCCGTGAGTCTGGATTTGAGCCTCAAGAGTGATCTAGGAGCTCTTCCTGTCACTAGTTTTTTGCTTCCTTCTACAGGGGAGTGGGGGAATTTACACTGAGGTATGATGTCACCTATAAATATGTTAACCAGTTTGAGAGCTATTGTAGGACATATGCACAAGCTGCAGGTTGGATGTCCCTGTGACCAGTTCACAATGTGAAGTGTCATTATGAAAGCAATTTCTTGTTTCCTACTTAGGGCAAAAAATGGCATTGCCTGTACTAGATTTCTCATTAGCCTAAAGTGTTCAGAAGATGGTGGTGATATGGACCATATAGCTTTAATCTTCTGATAATAATTTTGCAATAATTTTCATATAAGATATATGAAGGAATACTTAAGGCAACAATTAAGTGTTACTATCAAGGACTGAGACATAGTGATGTACCTAGAAAGTGTTGTTGGCCTTGAGCATTCCAAATCTGTAACCACACATCCTTAACTCTAAAATTATGTGCTATCTACAACTCTGCCTATGTCATAGCATTTAGGGATAGTGAGTATTTACCCAGCCTAGGTACTGACCAGGGTAGAATTAGATGGCCAGAGCAATGATATGTTACCCACAGACTTTTTTCCTTATTAGAGAAGTTCACCAAAAATGTGAGGTAAATATCAGTTTACAGATCTTATTTCTTCTCCCTCTTGGCACCAAATAATTAAGCATCAAATCAGTGTCAGGCTAGGGCCTTGGTCAGTTTCTTAGGTCCATGTGGTGGCTAATGTGTTAGGCACATGCTCTCCACTGTTGAATAAAGCATTTGAGTCTGACATTGTCATACTTGAGACCCACTGAGAGTACTGTATACATGCATGGGAAAATTTAGGAAGAGAGTGAGATCCAGAATTTTGGTGGTCAGTTTTTTACCTCAACTTTTTTTCTATACAAACATAGAAACCTGTTGCTACAAAATGAGACTTTTCCAAGAATTCCATGTAGTGTAGGGAAAGGGTCACTGTTCAGTGTAGTAACAGAAGAAAATAGATAAGTGGATAGATGACTATTGAACAAGTGTCCAGCCACAGGACACTTTCAGGACTTCACTGTGCCATTCAGTCAAAAAAAAAATCTGTGTTCTGGGCCAAGCTTCATTTTATAGTTAATATGTGTAGAGGATCTAGAGGTGTCCAGATGGCAGGTGGCCATGTGGAGCATTAGACGCACTTCAGCTTTTGCTGTGAGTCAAATGGGAAGCTGTGGAATGATTTTGGCAGGGGAACAACTTGATCTAACTTAATATTGCAGCATTGTTGCTCTGACCTTACAGATATATAGTTGAAAATGGGAATAATCCAGAGTTACTATGATAAGCCAAGTGAGAGTCCAGAGGGTAAGCAGGTAGTAAGAAGACTAGCAGTACAGTACTTGGCTCAGTCACCTAGGAGCATGGGTTTCTCTTTGGCTAAACAGAGGAGACTGGAAAGAAACTAGACTGCTGGGGTGGAGCCAAGTGTTTGCTTTATGGCATTAGCCTCAGAGTCATTCCTGCCCCTGCCTCATTCCTTTGATGTACCTGTGGGGATTTTAGAGTTGACACATAGCCACATTCAGAGCAACGAGCTAGAATGATCACTAGGGGACAGATGGTATTCAAAGTTAAGAAATTCATCAATAGTGCCTTGAGAGGTCAGAGTCCTGTCATTTCAGAGGCTGGAACATTGATTCAGAATTCACAGAGAGCAGTTAATTAAGATTTCTAATGTTCTGTCTCTCTTTAAATAGATAAACATGTCATGACACTCTTGAGACAGGTGCACTGTTTAATAATCATTCCTGAATTTCTTTCTTTAGTGACTTTTAACTAATCAGTTGATAATATTTAATATTCATAGGTACTTTTTAGTCTAGAAATCTGATGTGTGTATGTGTGTGTGTGTGTGTAGTAGTAGTAGTAGTAGTAGTAGTAGTAGTAGTATTTTTTAAAAGGCACAAAGTGACATTTGTAGCGTAGAAAATCAAGGTTTTAAAAGTAATTATTCCTGAAGATAGAAGTTAATGTAAGGTTTGTCTTAATTTTCCACAGTTTTTTTTTTGTTGTTGTTGTTGTTGTAAGTTTCAGTGTGGGTTACAATTTCATAGGTAATGAATCTATGAACTTTATTTGTGAAAAATTAAAACACAAACTATAAACTATCGTTCCACATTGAAATTTAAACTCCTGTTTCTGGCCTTTCCTAGCCATTATTTGCATTTGTAAATGAAGAGAAGTTTAACGTGGATGGGTGGACTATTTATAATCCAGTTGAAGAATACAGAAGGCAGGTAAGTCAGTAAATGCAATTGTCTGATGTGTGTTGAATTGCAAGCACACATTGGGAAATTATATTGTTGGTCATCTTCTCAAAATAATTAACAGTCTTGCTTAGTTTGGGTGGATGGCTATATTATCATCCACATTTTGTATAATATACCTCATTATTTTCCTCTTGTAACTACCAAGCTCATTCTGTAGTGATACTCAAACTGATCTAAAAACAGAATGACTAAGTTCTGCTTCATTTCCTAGATGAGGAACTTCCATTGTATGGTTTTTATGAAAAGAGTCAAATACTGAGAGTCTAGAAAAGTCAAACCTTTATACATTACATCGTGTGTGCATGTAAGCTTAAATAGTACTAATCTTTTTATTTAAGTTATATATGTCCTGAATTACAGATTCAAATGAGTTAGAACTTTTCTTACAATTGATGTATAATATCGACAAAGAGTTTTATTATTCTCTTACATAAAGGTCATCTGCGTGTATGTTCATTTGTGATAAGAGCATGAGGTTTGGAGTATGGAAATGTCTCAGAAGGTTAAAGTGCTTGCAACATGAGGACCTGAGTTTGGATCCCCAGAACCCATGTTAAAAGCCAAGTGTGGTAGCCTATATCTGTAATCCCATCACTGGGAAGAGATACTGGAAGATCCTAGGGGCTCTCTGGCAAGCTAGTCTGGCCAGTCATTGAGCTCCAAGTTCAGTGATACTCCTGTTTCAAAAGATGAGGTAGAGAAAAATGCAGGAGGAGACCTGACATCAATATTTGGCTTTCATATGTACGCATACAAGTATAAATGCTTTCATAAACACATGCATGTGCACACACACACATACATGCCATACATATCATACTTACCCTATATATAGCAAGAAAAAAGTCTTCCAGAACTTTTATAAGGAATGTTGCAAGCAAGCATATTATGTAACAAAAGCCACAACTTGACCTCAAATATAATGGCTAGGAGTTTTGCAATGGAATTTTTCATATTTCTTCTATGAGGCTCCTAAAATAATTTGGAAATGTTATGAAATGAGCTTTCAAGAATCAAATTAAGGCCAGTTGTTCTCTGTGAAAAGCAAGTGAATACAGAGTACAATTCCAGAACCTCAACCTTGTGGAAAACTTCCTAGCCACCCCTTCTACCATCATGACCCTGGTTGATTTCCATTTTCAGTGTTGATCAGTGGTTTGCATATTCATAAGCAGATTTTACCCTGGGGTTAGATGAAGGGAGGTTTTGCTATAATCACAGTTATGATGGGTCCTGTGAATCTGCTTTAGGCTACTGTATTTTCAAAGGATGTGTACCTTTCACTTTAATGGCCTCTGTTCTAGACTGACTACTAAGATGAAAAAAAGATCATTAGAACATTATTCATGCTTTAGAAACTTCTCTGACATTATGTGTGAGAGCATTTTATCTTGTCTTTAGTTGATGTTGACAATACATAGTAAGACTTTCCTTCAGTTTGACCTTCCAGCTTGAAACAAAATCATTTCCTGTTTTTTTTTTTTTAAGAATTGCATGCATGGATGACCTTTGTAGGTGTTTTCTTCTAGACTGCCATTATATTCAATCTTTTTTTCTTGTAACTTTCTGATGGGACTTAAAAACTCTCTAATTGGACTCAGCATCAGACTCAGCATCTGTTTGGCCGTGGTACATAGGGCCAGACCTAAAGAAAAGGTACAATGTCTGTCCCGAAAACAAGCAACCACCATGCTCACGTTCATGTGTGTGTTTGTGCATTTGTGAGTATGGGGAGAGAATATTCCACCACCTCTGGTTATTATCCTTAGTGGATATAATTTTGTGGGTGAATGATAGGTAGGGGGTGGCCTCTGTGTCTCCCTATCATACTAGCAGTCTGCTTAAAATACTGACTCCACTCCTCACACAATTTACAGGATAATCCTGGATCCCTAAGCTCTTGATTTAAATAACTTGTCGGAGGTGGCGAAATGAGCCTCCCCAAAAGGGTTCCTTCCCCCAAGCCCTGGTGCCTCTTTCCATGTGGGAGCAGGCTGCATCATTCTCTCTGTCTGGAGCATGGAGAGGAAGTAGCTAGCTCTCTTACAACCCTCAAGTAGACACAGATTAACACAGGAGGGGAATGGGTGCATGAGTAGGAGATGAACTTGGGCTTATCTGTATTGCAGGAGTGAAGAATATGTCTACAAGAAACAAAATGTCAAATTCCAGTGAACCTATAGTTAGGAGAAATAGTTTAGTTATGGAAACCACCAGTGTTTTGTCCATGTGTTCATGTTGTCTGGATTGTTGATTTGACATCCTTATTGTAAATAGGTAGGCTGCCAATCACTCTTTGGTCCAAGAGACATGTATTCATACTGGTAGAAAGAAGACAGAGCCAGATATTACAGACAAGAAGTTATTTCATGGTGACTTAATGCTTCCTTTTGTCCTGCAGGGCCTGCCCAATCACCATTGGAGGATAACTTTTATTAATAAGTGCTATGAACTCTGTGACACATACCCTGCTCTTTTGGTGGTTCCCTATCGGACCTCAGATGATGACCTTAGGAGAATTGCAACTTTTAGATCCCGAAATCGGATTCCTGTGAGTATCATGTCACATTTCCCTCCTAGAATGCCTTTTCTTTCTTAATAACAGTAATCATGTCATTGAGAGAGTACTCGTTTTCTGATAAGTAATTCCCAAGGACCTACTACAAAAGTAGCACCAGGTGAAATGGGAGAAGAAAGAACAGCTGCTTTCTATGAGCTCCAAGTCCAGAGTGCAGAAGGAAGACATGAAAGAGCTCTAATGAGAGCATCAGTAAGAGGTCACAACCCACCTCAGTAATGCAGGGAAGAAAGGGCAAACCCTTGGTTGCTGTCAGCATTATGATGCAATACCTGATGTGATCACGATGTTGGTTAAACTGGGCTGCAAAGAAAAGACCAGACTATGAGAACATGTGTTTGTGAGGCTTTTCTGCAGATGCTAGGGTGTGCTCATCCTCGGCCTAGCTGCAAGCTGCTCAATTCTGTTAATGAACTGGAGTTAAGTACAGACTATTCCAGACATTATGCTACCATGTCACTGAACCTAGCTCACAAAGTTCTCTTTTAGTCCTTAAATATTTGTGCACATGTCATACTTTCTACTTGTTACATAAATTTTATTGACTAAAAACTTAGAGATTGTTTTTTCTTCCTCTGTTAATTTTCAAGAGCTGTCATAATAAGTACATTGGGTTTTGTTTCAAATTAGTAGATTTAAAAAAAAAACAGTGGTAGAAGAAATTAAGATTTAATGTCACCTTGCCTTTGATTTCTAAGTGTAGACATTCTTGTCCTTAAAAGGATTTTTTGGAGAGGGAAACTTTGTATATTGTCAGCCTATGAGGAGTTCTAATTTTTAAAATCTCTTGCTTCTCTGATTACTGTCTGTTCATATCTTCCTGATAAAATTGTACGTGAAAGTATATTCTTTAGCTCAGTTTGCTAAAATGGAAAGTAGACTTAGAATTTCAGTCTTATATTTCACTTGTACATGTTTTTTTGTACTATGTAGAATATACTACTGTGACACTAGACACTGTTGTCTAGTATGTGCCTTGCTTATAGCAGACATTAACTGGGCTACTGGGCTACTGTGGTATATATGCATGTGTTTGATTTACTATCTGTTCAACCTTCATTGAACATCTGCTGTATCAAAAATAGTGTGTGCATGGGTGTGTGTGGGTATGTGGTTGTGTTGTGTAGCATATGGGACAAAAGGGAAGATGACACAGTTGTGCCTAAACCCTTGACCTCAGTCAATGATCCCATAGTCCCTGTTGTTCTTCATGAGTTACAGTCCAGTGTAGAAGAAAAGAATCTAACATGTTATTTAACATGATTCTCATACTTTGTCAGGTTACCAACTTATTTTTTTAAAATGTAGATCTCAATCTACATATCTTCCCTAGCAATCTATCTTAACCATAACTTTTCTATGTATCCAATGATTTAATAAATTTTCTATCATAAGATTTCTATATCTGTTTTGACTTTTTGCTTTTATAAACAGTGCTATGAGCAGGGAGATTATTCAGTGAATAAAGGCTCTTGCTGCTAAACCTGGCAGCCTTCATTTATCCCTGGTACCAACTTGGTAAGAGAGAACCGATTCCTTTAATTTATTCTCTGACATCTGCATATTCTCTGTGGAATATGCATACCCAGTCCCCCCAAATAAATAAATAAATAAATATATAAATAAATAAATAAATAAATAAATAAATAAATAAATAAGAATTCTAAAAGTGGGGCTGGAGAGATGGCCCAGCGGTTAAGAGCACTGACTGCTCTTCCAGAGGTCCTATGTTCAATTCCCAGCAACCACATGGTGGCTCACAACCATCTGTTATGGGGTCTGATGCCCTCTTCTGGTGTCTCTGAAGACAGCAACAGTGGACTCACATAGATTAAGTAAGTAAGTAAATAAATAAATAAATCTTTTTAAAAAAAGAATTCTAAAAGTAAAAAAAATAAATAATGTTATGATAAACTTTTTTTAATTTTTAGTTATTTTTCATTTTATGTGCATTGTTTTTTTTTTTTTTTTTTTTGCCTGGATGTGTGTCTGTGTAAAAGGGTCAGATCCCGTGCAAGTGGAGATATAGTTGTAAAGCGTCATGTGGGTGCTTGAAATTGAACCCCGAGCCTCTGGAAGATCAACCAGTGATCTTAAACACTGAACCATCTCTCTCCAGTCTCCTGTGATAAACATTTTAGTGACTACATTTTTATGTACATTTTAATTATACATGACTTCCCAATATTAATTTTAATAGCAACAATATAAAGTAGACAATTTAAAATAAAATAAAGTACTCTCACCATTTGTAGCCAGTCATTTCTATACCAAATACCATTTTAAAGGTATCCAGGGAGCTAGAGAGATGGCTCAGTGGTTAAGAGTTTAAGATACTCTTACAGAAGAACAGGGTTCAATTCTCAGCACCGATGTGGTGGCTCAGAATAATCTGTAAGTTCAATTCCAGGGACTCTATGTCCTCTTCTGGCCTTTGAGGGAATCAGGCATGCATGTAAGTACAGAGACATACATGCAGGCAAACTACACACACATACATCCACAGACAATGCCAGAGTCCTTCCCCTAACCCTTCCAAAAATGTTGAATTTAAGAGGAAATACAGCTTTGTGAAGAGTGGCATTTCCTAAGATGACAATGCAGAGAGAAGAGAAGGCAGCATTTTCTTTTGGCCTGACTTAATTTTCAAGTGTCTTACATGTGTAACATTTTGTGTCTTTAAAAGTGATCTTGTGTTTGTCATCACTGTTGAAATAAGGGTCAGAGGAAGTGAATGGGCAGATCTGAGGCCCACAGCTTGGGTTAGAAGGCAAAGGGTTATTGTAGGCCAGTGGAATTCCCAGGACTTTCTAAAGATCTGAGCTTCCTTGGCATGGGCTACCATGTGTTTAACTGGTCTCTAGCATGGGACAAGGACTTAGATATTTGTTCTGGAAACAAACATACATTCTTATCATGTGACAATTTCTCAGAAAGGAAACACTTAAATGGTATCATATTAAACCTGTATGTTCTAAGCATTCATGTTTGTCACCTGTCATCACAGAGAAATAACCTCGGTTATCAGAATATTTGATTTCATAAGTGAGCCCAAATGGTTATTTTCTTTCATCCTTGTGTCTATGATTTATCATTTTGGGAACTGATTTTGCTGGCTATGGAGCTTGCCTCTAGAAGGTAATGCAAGCTCATATTTATTGCATACTTTATGAGCATTCTTACTTTTGTCTTTCCAGCAGTCATCTGAGGTCACTATTATTCTCTCCATCTGACCAGGGAGGGCCATTAGTTCAATGCCTGAGGGTAGCACTCCAGGAGAGCTGGTTGCTCTCTTCATTTCCTTCACATTCATAAACATTCACAGTTGACTTTTCAGTCCCACACTGTAGTTTTGCATATTTATAGGGCTCAGAGTACTATATCAGTATATGTATATAATACATACTTACCAGAGCAAGCTACTTCACATATTCATCGGCTCAGATAGTTATCATTGCTTTGCATTGGGAGCACTCAATTCTATTAGCCATTTTGAAGTATCAATTAAATACTACTATCCACTATAGTTGTCCAACTATACTAAGAAAGCACCTGCAGCATACAGCTCACTATAATTTTCAAGATATATATTATCAGCTAACATTTATCTGCAGAGTTTTTCATCTGCTTTGAGAAGCTGAAAAGCTCAGCATCAATGGGCTTGCCAGTCAGTTGAAGACTGGCTCTGAGGACAGGCCACATATGTCCTACTAAGTATTAGGGATGCAGACTTTACAGCAGAGAGTGTAGCTCTCTTAGCCACTGAAATCCTTCTTTGCTTCCTTTGTGTCTTCTTCCTCCTATGTTGCATTTAGAAAGGGGACTGTTGGGGAAATAACCTGTAGACATAAGCTACCTCCACGGGTAGCACACTGATTGCTTAGCCCTTCACTTACTGTTCACGTTTTCATATAATAACAAGTCCAGTACAAGCTACCAAATTCCAGTAACAGTAGAGGCTTTATACAGTCTTTCAATAATTCAGCTTTGTTGTGGTAAGCATTAATTTATAGTGTTAATTTTAAAGGAAAGGCTGGTAAACTGGCTATTCTGATTGTTTCTGAGCAGTTGTAAATGTTAAATGTGTGTTCTGATGCCACACACAGTGAAAATTATAAATGAGCAAGTATTTTGTTTCAGCACAGATTCGCTTCATGATTATCAGTTTTAATGATTTCTGGAGACTTTCTAGATTAAACTTTCTGAACTACCATAGGTACTGTCGTGGATTCACCCAGAAAACAAGATGGTCATTATGCGCTGCAGTCAGCCTCTTGTCGGTATGAGTGGTAAAAGAAACAAAGATGACGAGAAATACCTGGATGTGATCAGGGAAACTAACAAACAAACTTCTAAGCTTGCGATTTATGATGCACGACCCAGTGTAAATGCAGTGGCCAACAAGGTGAGTGTAGTCAATGGAGACCTACTTTACATATGAACTGAAATGTTCGCCATGAATTGTTTTCCAGAATATATCAATCAATATGTGGATTTATTTTGAATTTTCATGTAATTATTTTGTAAGTCCCATTGGATTCAAATCCCAGCAATGGGAAGATGAAGATAGGAGGGTAAGAAATTCAAGATTGTCCTCAGCTACATACTGAGTTCTAGGTCTCAAAATGAATGAATGAACAATTACAAAAGCCGAACATGGCCACATATACTTGTAATACCAATCATCCCAGCACCAAGGAGACAGAGATTATGTTAAGGATATAATCTCAGTATTTGAAAGGCTAAGGCCAAAGCAAGTCTTCCTTAAAAGGCATGTCCAGAACTGTAATGAAAGTGAATTTTGTCTATAACCTTATGCAAAACATAGTTTTTGGCATCCTTTCGGGTATATATGATCATTGTGTGAGGTGGTGGGGTATCTTCAGGGAATTGTAGGAAACTGCTACTATTTAATCTGAAGTTTATCATTTTATCTGAAGACTCCATCATGCATACCATTTGTACTCATAAATGGTCATTATATAAGATAGTTTAAGATATGAGTAGGTCTGCGTATAGATTTTATAATCATAGACACAGAAGTTGATTTTTTTTTTTTGGTTATTTGAGACAGGGTTTCTCTGTGTAGCCCCGGCTGTCCTGGAACTCACTCTATATAGACCAGGCTGGCCTCGAACTCAGAAATCCGCCTGCCTCTGCCTCTCAAGTGCCAGGATTAAAGGCGTGCACCACCACTGCCCAGCAGAAGTTGATTTTTTTGAAAAGCAAATTTCAATTGTCTCTTTTGCCTTTCTAAGCTTACCTTGCTGTGGGGGCTTTGTGGGGAAGAATTGTTTAGTATGTTTGCTTTGTGTCTTTGTTGCTCGGTTGGTTGTTTTAGACAGGGTTTCACTGTTTAGTCTAGGCTGTCTTGGAATTCATGTCAATCCTCCAGCATCAGCCTCTCATGAACTGAGATTATAGGTTTAAGCTATTTTGTCTGGTTTCTGCTTTTATATTTTTTTGATTCTCCCATCTTTACCTGTGTGGTTTTCAAATGCTCACAAGCAAGCCTACCCAAGTTGCTCACTCCCAGATTCTATCTTTCAACTTTATTCTCTTCAGCTGCAGCCTTAAATTTCACCATCTTTAATGCTTTACTCAGCCCAAGGTCATTTCTCTGACATCTTTAATTATTCAGAACTCATCATAAGAACCTGAAAGCAAAGCAAGTCCTTGAGCAGTCCAGATAGATGCAGCAATTTCCAAAATGGAATGCATGTGAAGTCTATCTCCCGTAGGGTATGTTAGACTGTGGCTGTATGTGGGGCTCAGCTCTTCACCATGTGTGTGTGGTTCGGCTGTCCTACATAGTTATTCCTAGGCTTCCAACCCTGGCTTCATGTATGCTTTAGACAAGCTATTTATTAGAGGTTATGTAGAAATAACTTCAAACTTCTATGTAAAACAGTCATGAAGTTGAGTTGGTAAATCAATTAAGAATTATAAGTAAAGCATTTAGGAAATTAAATCTAAATATCTTTTTGGGTTATCCTCAATTTTATATATTTTTAATTTCAATATCCTTCATATATAATTCAAGGTGAACACATGTATAAAATACAATATTTCCATGTACTTACTTAGCCTGAAATAGGTAGGATGTAACATTAAAATAAAGTATTTAGAAAGAATATTTAAAAATATTAAAGTGTGTGAAATGACTACCTTAGTTATATTAAACTCTAAGGCTCATTATAGCAATACAATTGTTGCATGCCTTTTTAATGTTAGGGAAATAAGCCTCTGTTTCTAGTCCTCTTAGGAATGAAAAGAAGGAAAATATTAAGGGAAAAACTAAACCAAATCAAAACACCTAAGCCTTCAAGCACTCGGGCCAGGGTCTGTCTCTCCACTCGTTGTCTATATCCATAGCAACAGGCCTTTGGCCCTTTATAGCATTCTAGGTAATTTGGGTCGTTCAGTTTTGTTGAAAAAAGAAAAACCAAAGGGAAGACTTCAAAAGTAACCAGAGATAGAGAATTTGAACTTTGAGGAACTCAGCCTGTGCTTGACTAATTGATTTTTACCCTTGCTGATTTCTGTTCTCTTTGCCCCTCATAATTGTTCCTCCCTTGTGTGTGTACCCGGCAACATCCCATCGTTTTCAATTAAACAAAACCCAGGGTTGGTAAGATCTAGAAACACAAGGCTTCCATTTTAGGGCAGAGCACTGTGTTGGATTAAAGTAAGACTATGTTAATGTCTGGTTTTGCCAGAAACTTTGACAATGACTAAAACATGTATTTTTCCTTTTGTTTTTTGCTTTTGTTTTTTTTTTTTACACTTCATGCTCAGTTATTTATGAAAGGAACTCCAGTGTCAAGCATCTCCGAAAACCCCATAATTATGTATGAGCCACACATGCAGAGGAGCAGGCCCCCTGTCTGTGGGAGGCTGAGCGTGTCACTGTATTAGATATAGGCTTGCTGAGGTAGCTAAAAGTAGCCCAGCTCTTACTCCTCAAGTCTCTGCCTGCAATTTGTAGAGGTACTGCCAGGCAGATGCCAGTAACTCTGGCCATCCACAAAGCATGAACATCCAGGAAGAAAGGAAGGCGATACATTTGTCTCCTGATTTATTGGCAAATAGCTGTTTTTAAATGGGAAATAGGCACTGGAGAGACGGTTTTGTGATTAAGAGCACTTACAACTCTTTCAGAGCACCCACAACTACCTGTAGCTCCAGCTCCAAGAGATCTGACACCATCCATGCCTAAATATGTTTTCTCCTCTAGTGTGTTGGAGACTGATACCTCTGGCTTTACATATAGATTTCCAGGTGTGAAGTTCAAATGATAGTCTTATTCTACTACAAGAAACCTCTATAAGTAACCCTGGGGCAACAGAGGCACTCAGTTTGTTTTGCTGTTCAAACTCTGGCTCCAAGCTTATGTCCCTAACATTGATATTGTGGGGTAGCACATTTGCCTTCCATTTTCCTCTTCAGTCCCAATGCAGGTGTTTCCCTGTGCTCCTCCTGGAGGCAGCCTAAAGTTAATACCTTTTCAAAATCTCAGAAGTGTTTCTCTTTTTCTTTCACGGCCCAAATTTATCTATCCCATGACATTTCAAAAACCTTTAAGCAAAGTACAGCTATGTTTTTAAACAAAGTCATAATGTCTTTTTTACATCATTGTGGAGATGGATATTTTTCACAGTGTTGTGGTAATGAACTAAAGTCCGCCCTGGCAAGTGAACACAATTAAGTACTATTAAGAACACTATTTAGTGTTTCAGTAGTGGGCCACTTACCTAGCATGTACAAGGTCTTGAGTTCCATATGTAGAACTACAAAACAACAACAAAATTTTGTGCTTGATACAGTAGGTAGTTGCCATCTTGTCCCTCTTAGAACCTTGTGGGCCCACTATGTGCAGCTCTGTCCTTGCTGTTTATATAGTGGAGAGATGGTGGGGATACTGTGGAAAGGATTTCTACATTGAAATCAAAGGAGATATAAATTCTGTTTATTACTTGCAAGTTTTTGGAATGGATGAACCTTAGTTTCTGCTTCCCAGTGTGCCAAATGTGGATAGTAACATCTGTCTTGTAGCTTTCCTGTAAGAGGTAAAAATACAAAGCATGTCACAGAGCCTCATCAGAAGGTGGTTACTGTTAGCCATTGTAAAAATGTCTGGCTCTTTTTACTCTGTCAGACCTAGGTAGTGAACCCTATTTTACAGGACAGGACACTGGTGCTTCAAGTTTAGTGTCTGGCACTAGATCATTAGGTGAGGAGAGGCTGAAGTTGAGCTATTGACCTGTGCCTAACTCTAAAAGCTGTTTTTCCCCCAACACATTATAGCCTATGTGAATGCTCACAATGTTAGAGTGCCCACTGCCATATCAATATGGCTACCTCTTCCCCAAACAGTATAATAATAACCATGAAATTGATGGAGGAGGACTTTTCAAAGCCTATTCTTGCTTTTCCAGATCTAGAAGAGCTAATAATTACAGAACATTTTGAAGGGAATATAAATGATGAATTCAGTTGTCTGCCGCTCCCCCACACACACACACACACCAGGAAAGTGCCAGTCTTCCATATTTTTTTCTAGCTCAAAGTATGTCTCAGGTTGTTGAGGATTTGTATTGGATAGGAAGTCAAAAATCATATTAACTATTTAAGTGAGAGAGATTTGGGATAAAATTTTGAAAGTACATGGAATATTTTGGCTGTTAAGTTACTGATAAACTAGAAAACCTATGTGATTATAGTCTTGTTCTTTCTTAGGCAACAGGAGGAGGCTATGAAAGTGATGATGCATATCAGAACGCAGAACTTTCTTTCTTAGACATTCATAATATTCACGTTATGCGAGAATCTTTAAAAAAGGTGAAAGATATTGTTTATCCCAACATAGAAGAATCTCATTGGTTGTCCAGTTTGGAGTCGACTCATTGGTTAGAACATATCAAGGCAAGTATACTTTTAAAATATTTGCAAGTATAGAAGAATAAATATTTTGAAGGTGATATTTTTCCATAAATATTTAAAAATTGCATGCTCTAAGTGAGACTGTAGTAGAAGAGTCTACATTTGATAGTTTTATGTTTCTTATAATTTGATTACTTAAATTGAAGGTTTCACAATATCATTATATCTTATTTTTAGAGTTTGTAGAACTATCTCTCCTAATCTTGTCAGTAGTTAATAGTTTCGTGAGGGTTTATTTATGAATATCCAATTTATTATTCAACTGTTATTAGATGTATCCCTCAGAGACCCAGACAGAGGTGCAGTTTCTTTGTCATTTTCCTTTTAACAATTTATTACTGACTAATTTTAAAGACTAGGTTTTGCATTTTGATTACAGTTAATCATTTGTCCCAATAGAAGCATAAAATTTCTCTTTTCAAAGTACAAGTGTTAGAAACTGTTAGCAGACTGGCACTTTTTAAAACCATATAGTTTTCTAAACAACCAGCTGAAAGCATATTTTAAGCAGGTAAATTATTAAGATACAGTGTTTTCTAGTGAGATTATACTTTTCATCTTGTATTTTTAAATTTTTTCCTGTCTAACTTTTTTTTAATTTGCCATCCTCAAAAATTTGATTACAAAATAATTAATTGTGGCAGCTAAATATAATGTAGTATCCTGAATGGGACTCTAGAAAAGAAAAGAGGCATTAGGTTAAAAACTAAGGAATAAATAAAAAGGAATTGAAGACTCCCAGTGTCAGCGTTAAGTCTACACTTACACCTGCACACACAGGCTGACACTTGCTCCTCAACTCCCCAAAAGGGCTAGATAAAAGAGGAAACAGTGAAGAGTCATATGACTTTAATAAAAGCTTTTAAGTCTTGGGATACTTCTGCCTCTTTGCAGACAAAGAATTTAGATGTTTTATTCAGGAAAGACTCACAATTTTAAAAGTGTGATATATTGGCAATTTTATATCAGTAGAAAATCATCCTAAACAACCTGCCTGTAGAGGGAAAGTTCCATCTCTATAAGTAAAGAATCCAGGGAAATTTAGAAATGTCTTGCAACTTTCTTTCTTCATTCTTTCCACAAAGTAGAAATATTTTCATGTCTTTTTTTCTTTTAGAGAAATAGGGGAAGAAGAAAGGGAGAAGAAAGAGGGAGTGCAGAAGGGAGGCAGGGAGAACGAATACATGCATATAGACATGTATCAGAAACTTTAGGAAGGTGGAGAGAGCTCCTATCCTGCAGCAGAAAGAAGACTGTAAAACTCATGTAACTGAGAAGGCTGAGGAGCCCATTCAAGAAAATGGAAGGGCACCCATCTCAGTGTTTCTCACATCAGTTGAGGGCAGTAGAGCAGGTGCAGCACTTGGGCTATATTCCTCTGTAAGCTCTGGGAAATGTCATTTTTATCTCTTCTCACCTTCTCAAGGCCTCTCAGGAAATACCTTGTCTACTCCTTGTCTTCATTAGCAAGGACTACTGGCTAGAGCCTGCTGCTTTCTTTTTCACACAAATGCCAGATTACTTGTTTTCAGTAATATAGTTTTCAAAAGTACATAATTATAGTTGCTCCAAGTCACAGTGATTATGGGAATACATAATTGGAAAGTATATAATATTTTCTAAAATAATTGCCTTTTTATTATAAGTGAGAGATGTATTTTGGGGGAGAACCACCTCTACAGTGTGCTGGAACCCCAACTTTATTAAATTGGGCTCCAGTAATCTAGAATGATAGTAATGCTTCTCAGAGGCAGCACTTTCTGCAGAAGTGCCTCAAGTTAAAACTGCAAACAAAGTTGCAGGGAGTCGTTTCAGGGGCATTAACCTCTGCACACGTCCTTTTGATGGCCTGCCATCTATTGGTCCCCTAACTTTCTTTCTTGTTCACTTGTTTCTTGGGAATTTATGTAAAAATAACACCTTTCATATTTTCTATTTGTCAGATGGTTCACATACTCCAGCATTTCCTTGGATAAATTTCAGTAGGTTTTTTTTTTTCAGTTTCTTTGAATTGGTTAAAGTAACCACAATGCATATCTGAGCATGCTGTTAGAATTTGGGACACTCCATGGAATAAATCTTAAGAAATCAGCTCAAGGGCCAACAAGATGGCTCAGCAGCTAAAATGTTTGCCGTACAAGCCTGGCAACCAGAGTTCAGTCCCCAGAGCATATATATAGGTAGAAGGAGGTAACAAACTACATGTAGTTGTCCTTTGACCTCCACAAATGCTCTATGGTTTACATGCCCACACATACATGAAGTTATGTACAAATATGCGTGCAATAATATGTTTTTAAAATCAATTCAAAATGGCAAAATATATGCAAGTAACTGTTAAGCACTTGAGGAGATACAGCCTTCATATAATACTAGATGGAATGTGAGGTGGTATAACTATTTTCCTTAAGAATTTGAATGTGACAAACGGGTGGTGGTGGCGCACGCCTTTAATCCCAGGCCACATGAAGCTCATAAAAAACGAAGATCTAGTGGGGGTGATTCGGTCCTTCTTAGAAGGAGCAACAAAATACTCAAGGGAGCAAATATGGAGACAAAGTGAGGGACAGAAACTGAAGGAGGGGCCTTCTGAAGACCATTCCACCTGAGTATCTATGCCATGTGCAGTCACCAAAGGTAGATGCTGATGTGGAAGTCAGGAAGTGCATGCTGATAAGAGCCTGATATGGAAGCCTCCTCAGAGGTCTTCAAGAGTCTGACATATTCAGAGGCAGATGCTCACAACTAGCTATTGAACTGATCATGGGGTTCTCAATGTAGGAGTTAGAGTGAAGACTGAAGGAGCTGAAAGGGTTTGTGGCACCATGAGGAGAGCAACAATACCAACCAACCACAGCTCCCAGGGTCTAAACCACCAGCCTGGGAGCACTTAGGGAGGGATCCAGGGCTTCAGCTGAATATGTAAGAGTGGAGGGCCCTGCTGGGCATAGGTGGAAGAAGAGAACCTTGACCTCATGAAGGCTGGATGCCCCAGGGGGTGGGAATTTTGAGGGTGGGGAGGTGGGAGTGGGGGGGGTAGATAGAGGTTACATCCACAGAGAAGAAGGAGGGGTGAGGGGATTGGGGGTTCCTGGGTGGGTGGGGGATGGGGTAAGGGGACAACATATGAAATGTAAATAAAACATCCAATAAAATAAATTTAAAAAAAAAGAATTTGAATGTGATCCTACACATTGGAGAAGTAGCCATGCTCCCTGCTGCTTCCTGCTGACTTGCATGTTTTCCTCTGCCAGCTTGTTCTGACAGGTGCCATTCAAGTTGCAGACAAAGTTTCTTCAGGGAAGAGCTCAGTGCTTGTACACTGCAGTGATGGATGGGACAGGACTGCTCAGCTGACGTCCTTGGCCATGCTGATGTTAGATAGTTTCTACAGAAGTATTGAAGGCTTTGAGATATTGGTACAGAAAGAGTGGATAAGTTTCGGACATAAATTCGCATCTGTAAGTAAACACATGAAAAGCTGCCCTTTTAAATCAGTTGGGATTTTTTAAAAAATTGGTTTCTATACTGTGTAAGAAGTTGCCAAGCAAGGTGGTGCTTGCCTTTAATCCCAGCACTAAGGAGGCAAAGGCTGATGGATCTCAATGAGTTCTAAGTTAGCCAGGGTTACACAGGCCTTGTTTCCAAAAAAAAAAAAAATCTGATTTGTATAAATAAACCTCCTTCATGATTTCAAAACCTTGTAAGACCTTAGACTAAGACATGTGTTCGTCCATCTGAACTTTTCTAATTAGACTCAAAAGCAATGTAACAAAGCCTGTAGAAGAGTATATAAATTGAGACTTGGGAAGCTGAGGTGGGAAGATTGCAGTTAGCTCCAGCCAAGGCTTCTCAGTGATTTCAGGCCTAGGCTAAAAAGCAAAATTTGTATCAGAAAAATAAAAAGAAGAAATGTTTAAATTAAAATTTCACAAAAGAAAGAAAATAGGATAACAGTTTTCTCCGTCAGGATCAAATGTACTTCACAGACTGGCAGGGTTTTTACACAACAGTTTTTACTATTCTTGGACACACATTTTTTAAAAAAAATCTAGAGAAACTTCCAATTCAAATACTTGAGTCTTGTCTACAGATACCTTTTGAATGAGCATCTTTTTAGAATATTTATTTATTATGGGGGTTGGGGCTGTTTGTTTGTTCACCAGATGCATGTAATATTCTTGGAAGCCAGAAGAGGGCATCAGAGTCCCTAGGATTGTAGTTATAACAAGTTGTTAGGCAGGCACCCTATGGGTGCTGGGATTTGAACCTGGGTGGCCTGCAAGAGTAGCAAGTGCTTTTAACTGCTAAGCCATCTCTTTGTTACCCAGCTCCATGGTGAGTCTCAGAGGATACATATATCATACTAATACAAATACCATTTGGTCACCTGTTAGCCTTCATCCAAATTTCCCAAATGATATAAGTAACATTTTCAAGTAGAAGCAGTCACTGTTTAGTAAAGTCATGGTGAGGGTTTTGTTTGGGCTCTAGCAGAAGAAGGCATTTTAATCACAGAAACTGTACTTTGGACATGATTTCAAACTTCCATGTTGCTTCTTACCTGAAAGATCTAATGAAGCTAGAACATAACACGCAGGGTAATCCAGTCAACTCTGTGTGTAGTTTTCATCGTTTTGTGTTACAGTGTTGTATTTGTGTGCATTTGTGTGTGTGTGAGAGAGAGAGAGAGAGACAGAGACAGAGAGACAGAGAGAGAGGGAGATACACAGAGCTATATGTACATATGTGTACATAAATGTGCAGTCCAGATGACAGCCTCAAGTGTCACTTCTCAAGAGTTTTTTTTTAATTAAATAGGGTCTGTCAAAGGGACCTGGGACCTTTTGCTTGGGTTTGGATGACTGACCAGTAAACCCCAGGAATCTTCCTGTCTTTATCACTGCAGCTCCAGTGTCACACACCAGGGTTGTGGTTTGGTTGGTTGGTTGGTTGGTTTTGCTATGACTTCTGGAAATTGAATTCAGGTCCTTATGCTTGCCTAGCTAGCACTTTATTAACTAAATACCCCACAGTCCCTCCCTCACACTGAATTGTCATTCAGATGGTGAAATGACTCAGTTGTTAAAGGTGCTTGCCATTAGCCTGATGGCATGAGGTCAATCCTGGGGACTCACTTTCTAAGAGAGAATCAACCATTGAAAGTAGTCTTCTGACTTCCATGCACATGTAGGAATCAGACACATGTGCAAACAAACACACACATACATGTAATTTTTTAAATTGCCATTATTATGAAATCATCTGTTGTTTCTATGTATTTCCATGGCAACATTCATAATTTACTGTGTGAGCCTGGCATTTAGAAGGCACGTTGCTGAGTTACATTTTAACATTTTGTAAGTTATATGCTTTTTCGATTTTATACCCATGAATTAAATCACCTTCATCAATTTATTTTAGAGAATAGGTCATGGTGATAAAAACCATGCAGATGCTGACCGATCTCCGATTTTTCTTCAGTTTATTGACTGTGTGTGGCAGATGTCAAAACAGGTAAGAATGTATGGAATGGATGTACATTCAATGTTTAACTAGTGTTATAACATCCAAAGTTTGTCTACAAAATAATGCAGCACATAAATAAAGATGGCACTGGCCTGGCCATGAGTAAATACTCATTGAATCCCAGCATTGGGGACACAGGAAGTTATTTCTTTAATTACTACTACTATGTGTGTTTAGAATTCTCCACAATACAGTTTACAAAATTTGATTTTTAACTGGATTATCTGTTCTAGTGGATGGTCATCAGCATGACCAATTACTTGGCATCTCTGTGTAAGCATATCTGCTAACTTGTAATACTTTCAAAAGTAAACTTGGCCACTTTTTTCCTTTTTATTCCTTGACTTGACATTATATGTATAAGTCTTACATAAAGTACAAAAAAAGTACAAACAAACAAACAAGAAATAAACCCTCTAGGGTCAGTGCAGATGGCAGCTCTGCTGGCACTCCCAGAATTGTAGTGTGGCACACTTAGGCACTCTTGCCATTGATGCAGGCACCTTTTTTTTGCCATAGTGTGCATATGTATTTGCATGTTTCTTTTAATTTAATGACTTCCTTCTTTGACACTCACCAGCCAACGTGGTCTGGGAGAAACCATGCATTTTGTCTTTCTTGAGAGAAAAGACTTGATTTTTCATGTTCTTCTTGTTTGTTTTTAATCTAGTTCCCTACAGCTTTTGAGTTCAATGAACGCTTTTTGATTACGATTTTGGATCATTTGTATAGCTGTCGATTTGGTACTTTCTTATTCAACTGTGAATCGGCTCGAGAAAGACAGGTAAGCAAAACACTACTGCTGACCTAAGAAGAATATGAGTGTTTATGAGGGACTGGTTTCACCCTCAACAAATAGGAGTGATTTTTAAAGTATATAAGTTCACCCTTGTGAACCTCCATGAAAAGTTATGTAAAGAGAATTTTAAAATTTATTCTTTGAGAATTCTATAGAATATATTTTGATAATATTCCTTCCAATCCCCAGTTCCTCCTAGTTCTTACCTACCTCACTTGATATTATTTCTCTCTTTGAAAAATTAAAGAGAGAAAAAGAAAAGGGCCACTAAAAACATAGAGTATGGTCACACTCTGTTGAAGAAACAGATTTTCCCTCTCCCAACAGCTATCACTTTAAAATAGCTTCTTGGTGAGGGGTGAGACTTTGTGTCCACTTCCCATCCTCCTTTCTGGGATTTTGTCTGGAATTTGCTGTTTCCCAGAAGTCAGCCACCAACTCTGGCTCTTACAGACTATCTCTCTAGGAGATGTAGAAGTCTTATGAACTGTTAAGGAAATGGAAAACAATAAATTTTTAAAAGAGAAATGTAGAATTAACATTCAAATCAGAAATTTCACTTCTTGATTATGTATATATTTTTTAAAGAATGGAGGGAGTTGGAGAGAGGCAGACATGGTAGCTGAAGCCTATAAACCCAGCAGTTGGGAGGCTAAGGCACGAGTATCACAAGTTTCAGGCCAGATGAATTACATGCAGAGTTCCAGGGAAGGCTGGCCTAAATATTAAGACCTGTCTCCAAACAAAATAAATACAAAATGCAAGCACATTAATGTATAGCCTAAAATTAAATATATATTATACATGTATATTTGTATTTATATATATATTTGTATATTTATATGTATATATGTATAAGGTATATATAAAACATAATTAAATTTTATGTTTTGACTGGGTTCCATCTCTAAGATATCTCATTATCTATGTGAAAATATTCCAAAATCAAAAGAAAAATCCAAAAAGCAAATCACTTCTGGTCCCATCCTATATTTGCAAAGAAATAGAAATCGAAACAACTTGGGAATCTTCAACGACAATAGTGCACAGATGACTTTTAAGGAAAGAGTTTCAAGCCAGCTTTCTACAGCTACCAAACTGACAACTATCTGAAAGGAGAACAAAGATCTTCTCAGATACACATAGTATAAAGAGTGACTTGCCTCATGTGCTGGGGAGATAGCTCAGTTGGTAAACTGTTTACTATGTTAAGTAAACATAGTAGCATGAGGACCTGAGTTCAATTCCCAGAACCCACATAAAATCCTAATCAAAGGGGAGAAATGACACCTCTGCTTGGTGACTATCCTGCACACACATACACATGTACCTGTGCACCTATATACACAAACACACATCTGAAAAAATAACCTACTTCCCTCATAGTACCTTCCTTGGGAAGTAGCCAAAATATGTACTCCATGAAAACAAAAAGTAAGGCTGCACAAAATCCCCAGAGTAAGAGCTCCAGCACAGCAGTCCTCAATGAGAACTGATCACAAGTCACAGGAACTACTCGTGTAAGTTGAAGGCCATGTGACAGAGACACTGGGGTCATCTGACATGCTTAACATTCTTCAGGGGCATGTGATACACTAAGGAGAACTTGGTGTGCAGTTTGTCAATGCCAAGAAAAGTAAACAGACAGTTGTGAAATCAAGAGAAAAATCAATGAGTGCAGGAAAAGGAAAACAATCATAGGATGGAGACTGGAGAGCGCAGCTCCAAACAGCAGGTGCTTAGTCATCAGAATCAAACTGCTAAATGCTGAGCTAATCAGAGCTGTGCTATGGATTGGGAATGTGTGGCAGAAAAAAATTGTACATGGGGCAGGAATGGGGGAAAGAAAGTCACTATGACTGTGTCAGTAGTTAACACCTGCAACTGCATAGCTATGTGGTAGCAGTAAAGGCATTCACTTGGGGGATAAGAAAACAAGTACCAGATAGATCAATTAAAAACCCAAGTTGGCTCAGGCTTTATGGAAGACAGTATGAAGATTCCTCGGGAAACTAAAAACAGAACTGCTCTATGATCCAACTGCTACTTACTACTGGTTGGGTATCCAAAGAAATCAAAGCCAGGCCTGGTATGTCAGGCCTGTGATCCTAGCTACTATGGAGACTGATGTAGGAGTATCATAAATTAGAAGACTGTCTGGACTACAAAGCAAGATCAAGGCTGGCCTGGTGACTTGGTGAGAACTTGTCCTTTTTTTTTTTTTAAGTAATAGGGGACAGGAAGATGCCTTAGTGAACAGATGAAAGTGCTTACTTCAAAAGCCTGGTGACCTGAGTTCAATCCTCTCTTAGAGTTATTTTTACAGCTATGAAATCATGACCAAAGCAAGTTTGGAGGAAAGAGTTTATTTGGCTTACACTTCCACATCACTGTTCACCACTAGAGGAAGTCAGGACAGGAACTCACACAGGGCAGGAACCTGGAGACAGGAGCTGATACAGAGGCCATGCAGGGGCTTTGATCCACCTGCTTTCTTACAGAACTGAGGACTACCACTCACAAAGGGCTCGGCCCTCCGCCATCAATCACTATAATTAAGAAAGTATACCCTGAGCTTATGGAGGTATTTTCTCAAATGAGTTTCTCCTCTCAGATGACTCTAGCTTTTGTCAGGTTGACATAAAAACTAGCCAGCACAGTGGTGATTGTTTCTTCTGGTTTTTGTCCTCCAGAACCAGGTGATTTTAAGTTGGCTGATGCCCTTGATGATCAAAACAATCTAGATGGCCACAAAAAAAAAATGCCCCACTGCCCAATCTTATGAGACTTTTTCTTAATTGAGGCTTCCTTCTCTCTGACAGCCCTAGTTTGTGTAAAGTTGACATAAAACTAGCCAACACAAATCCCTAAAACCAATATAATGGTGGAAGGAGAGAACAGAGTTGTTCTTCGACTAATACACTTGAGCTATGGCACTCACTAAATCCACATACTCTTAAAGTGGGCTGGTTCTCTATTTAAACTCCTGTAGCACAAAAAGGAACAAGAAAAATCAGATTGGAGTGTAGAAGAGATAAGTGCACTCATACTTACAGAAACAGTACTTATAGAAATCAAGATACAGAATCTGGAATCACATTTAAATACACATGGGCATATGAATAACAAAGAAAACATGTGCTCCATGGTATAATAGAATATTATTGACTTTTAAAAATGAGATTCTGGCACTTGCAGCAACATGTGTGGAATTGGAGGGCTGAATGAGGTAAGCCAGCCACAGAAACTTTGCAGTAAGACTTTAAGTTGAACATATAGTAATGGAAAGTTGGACAGTCAGCAGTGTCAGGATGGTGGTAAAAAGATGCAAAACTTTGCTTGTAATATGACTAGATCCTGAAGCCATGCTACTGTTTGAGTATGAAATGTTCCCTCATTGATTCATATGCTGGAACCTTTGGAAAGTGGGGCCTTACTGGAGGAAGTGGTCTTGATTTTTTTCTTTTTATTAGATATTTTATTTAAATTTCAGATGTTATCCCCTTACCCCATTCCCCACTCCAGGAACCCCCTCCCCTCCTCCTGCTTCTATGAGGATGTACCCCCATCCACCCACCCACTCCCACATCCCCGCCTTCAAATTCCCCCACACTGGGGCATCCAGCCTACACGAGACCAAGGATCTCCTTTCCCACATATGTCCAACAATGCCATCCTCCCCTACATATACAGCTGGAGCCATGAGTCCCTCCCTATGTGCTCCCAGACTTGTGGTTTAGACACTGGGAGCTCTGGTTGGTTGGTATTCTTGCTCTCCCCATGGGGCTTCAAACCCTTTCAGCTCCTTCAGTCTTCTCTCTCACTCCTCCGTTGGGAACCCCATGATCAGTTCAATGGTTAGCTGTGAGCAGCAGCCTCTGAATATATCAGACTCTGGCGGTCGTGGTTTTTTACTGCATGTATTTCACCACATTTTCACTATAAACTATGGAAAAGCCAAAGCTAAGAAATAAAAAAAAAATACAAGAATTAAATATTCCAAAGTCTGATTCTTCCTAGTAATGTCTTCAATGATAAATCATGATTGCACCATTTGAACCCACCTTACAAAGTTAATTTGTACTTTTCTGGACAAACTCTGGACTGGATTGTGCTTATTCTACATATTTCTGTTTCTGTGTTTTATATACATAGTTTTAAAAGTCAAACAGTTTTACAGTTAGGAGAAAAAGCAGCCTCTCATCCCCCTCAGAAACTATGATTTGACTTTTTAAAGCTAGTTTAAGATGTGACAACAAATGCAAACCTATGTATTTAAGGCTATTGTGATTTATCATTTCTATAAATGAATTGAACATGCTACAGGAATTTCCATTTGGCTGTTAATGTTGGATTTTTTTGTCTTCCTTTTTGAAGTCATTACTAGGAAGCATCAAAGTCTAACTTTGGTAATTCTATTTCTTATATTCTCTATTTCTCAGCTTTGGCTTTTCCATGAAAAATGGTAAAATGTATGAATTTAAAAAACTTAAAAATGTTTTATGAGAACATACCAGTTAAAAACTGAAAACTTGGTGCAGTTATTTATCCAGAGTTTTTCAAATATCTGGATATGGCTATGATACAGATTAAGACTCTGAGTGGTTAGTTAAAATAACTGTTGAAATACCTGTTGTCAAGTAGACATAGGTTAAAATATTTCTAACAAATAGAAAAGGAATTGAAAACTAGGTATAGGCTCCTGATTTTTCTTTGAGTGGAATGAAAAAGATGATGTGGCCCATCTGCTCATAAGGAATTATCTATAGATCAGTGAATTACATTCAATGGTACAGCATCCTGCTTCCCTGTATCGCAGCAGAAACAGTGGCTCTCAAGCTAGGCAATTATCAGTAAGTGAATGTAAATCCTCAGTAATGTTTTTTCTTAGTTATGGAGGCTACTGTAAATGTGTCAGTGAAGCTAATCTTGAAATGTATTGCCACAGGCTTCAGGATGCTTTGTTGAGTGTTCACCTTTCTGCTTACTCTCTGTGTAGAAACTTACAGAAAGAACAGTTTCTGTATGGTCGTTAATTAACAGCAATAAAGACAAATTCAAAAACCCCTTCTATACAAAAGAAATCAATCGAGTTTTATATCCAGTTGCCAGTATGCGTCACTTGGAACTGTGGGTGAATTATTACATTCGATGGAATCCCAGGATCAAGCAACAAGTAAGTGAAACAAATCTCTTGCGGGACTGAATGGCTCCAGCCCAGCTTATATGATGCTATTTGCTCACATTTTGAGGATAAACACAGGAAAGACAAATACTTGCTTTTAAACTAACCCTAATTTAAAATTGTTGTGAATTACTAAACCATGAATTTTGAAGTTAAAAATTTCTCTGTCCAGATGAATGCTGTAATAATGTAAGTAATTTTAAAACTCTAGAAAGTTTTAAAGTTTTCCTAGCTAGGGATTTCCTTTAATCACTTCAAATGCACACACCTCACTAGAAAACTCTGTACATGTTTCCCTGGCATAGTGGTACACTGTTGTATTTCTAACACTGAGGAGGTGAAAGGCAGGAGAATCAGAAGTTCAGAGTCAGCCTTTGCTACATAGAGAATTTGAGGCCTACATGAGACTCTGTCTCAAAAGAAAAAGTTCTCTGCACTGACTAGACAATCTTTTTTTATTGGATATTTTCTTCATTTACATTTCAAATGTTATCCCCTTTTCTGGTCTCCCCATCCCAGAAGCACCCTATCCCATCCCCTCTCCCCCTGCTTCTATGAGGGTGCTCACCCACTCACCCACCCATTCCTGTCTTCTTTTCTATGATCTGCTTGAGATATATATATGAAGTGAGCTGGCATGCTCCTTACTGAATATCTCTATATCTAAAATAAAGATACCAGTATACCAGTGGTTAGTAAATTTAACTAGCCATTTATCAGTCAAAATGAAGGCAGAATTTTGAAGTGATAATATTCACATTTTAATAAAGACATTTCCATGTGAGTTTCAAGCCAGCCAGGACTAAACAGTGAGACTCTATATGAAAAAAATAACAACACACACAACTGAACAGTGTTTGTCTTCTAAAATAAGCTCTTTCTATATTTGTCTTGGACCCATTGGCTGTGAGGAACTTTTGGCAGTGTCTGTGCAGATTCTACAATTACATCTTTATATATTCTTATAGGAATTTGTGAAGTATAAGGAATTTTGAATTATTCATTTTTAACTATAAAAAGTAACAATGATTATGTGACAAATCATTTTGTTTGGAGCCTTGTTGATTGGTTTTGTTTCATTTTGCTGATAAGGCAAGATTGAAGGGACATCACCATCATCAAAACTTTAAAGTATATCTCCCCATCCCTGTATTCTCTAAAGGTTTACAAAATGGTACCTGAACAAATAAGAATGCTTGTCCTATAGGAGAACCTTTTATTTTCAGACATTTAATTGCTCTATATCGTGATCCATTGGCATCTATTCATAAAGGAAAAGTACCTTCCCTTTGTAGATTTTTCTGACTTACAGTGTTCCTACACAAATGGATGTCACTGGGCACTTCACATTTTCTTCTCCAAAATGTTGAGTGTTCCTGTGTGTCCTACAATGGGAGAACACAGGTATTAGTCTCTGCCCACAAGACTCCCCAGGCTGGTGGAGGCAGCTAGGAACATAAGCTGATGATTGTAGTGCTAGTAAAGGTGTGAATTAAGTATGTGAGATGTCTTTAAAGATCTGCTTATGTAGAACATTATTTCATAAAAAGATTAAAGTCAAATCACATAGGAACTTCTAAATTATATAATGTATATAATATAAATCTAAAGGAATTTACTTAACTGCTTAAAAGTTAAGTGATTATTCATTTGTGTGATCTAGAAAGCATTCAGTTGCTGACCACCTACAGTATTCACAAAACAATGATATGCTACCTGTGTTGAAAGATAAAAGAATATACAGCCCCTCCCCATAATGAGCTCTTAACCTTAAAGAAGGCAAGGTGGCCTGTTCTTAAAAGCAGACTTTGTCAGTCCTTGCTGTGATATCAAACTTACTAACTGAAAGATAACAGCAGGGCCAATGACATATAAACCAGCTGTCATGTATGGTATTTAAGTCATTTCTACTAGAAGGGTTAAAAGGCATAGGAATGCAAGAAATCATTTGAGGCTTAAAATGCTTCCATGATGAGCTCTCCTGGGGGGGGTGTGCCATGCTGAGCTAGCACACATTTAGCTCACAGCTTGTTGCAGGTCTTTTTGTCCTATCAGAAATGGACCCCTCTGTTATATTCTTTAAGGTTTTTTGTGTATCTATAGGTTAATGACTTCTATGTATTTTAGACTCATTACTCCACTGATCTTTTTCACATGTAAGTTTTTAATCTCTTTTATTGCTAATAGTTTAGAAACCTCATTCTAATCATATATTCATACTACTGCAAAAAGATTATGTCTGATTTCTTTTTCTTGTCTAAGTATATATACTGATTCTAGTATTCAAACTGACTCAAATTTAATATTCATATGGAAGATGATTTTTTAAATAAGCTAAACAGTTTGGGAGAATATCAAGGAAGAACTTGCCCTCCTATGTATGTCAAGAGTTATATATGATCCGAACTTAGCCACTGATAAGATATCCACGTTTCTGTAAGCAACCCTAATTAAATTTATCAGGTCACCAGGAAAAGGAGGCATGAAACTAGGAAGCAAAGAGTAGTTAGAAAGAGAAAACCAATTAGTGAGAGTGAGAAAAAGACAGTTTCAAAGTACATTATCATGTGTATAAAAAGGTTATGATGAAACTATTTTGTATAATTAGTGCACGATAACATATAAAACAAAACTTGATATAACCTAGGAACAAACCATTGTGGCTATGGAGACTTGGTATAATAAGAAGGTAGCATTATTTATTCTGTTAATAATGTCAGGACCCCAGATTAAACCATAACACCTAAGACTACCCTCCAGCTCCTCGTGCTGTCATCTTCATTTCAGCTCAGGGCATCACCTCTAGTCACCCTATCAAGAAACCTAAGTCATCTTTGATTTCTTCCTGTCTCTCACTCCACGCTCAGTGTGCCAAGGGAACCCATTTGACTGTCAGAATATATAGGGCATGGGGAAGGAGGGCTGGAGAGATGGTTCAGTGTTTAAGAACACTTGTTGATCTCTTCCAGAGGACCTGAGTTCAATTCCCAAGACTTACATGGCAGCTTGCAACTGTCTAATTCCAGTCCTAGGGAATGTAAATCTCTCTTCTGCCCCTCTGTATACACTAGGCTTATACATTGTGCGTATGCACACATGCAGAAAGAATACCCATATACATAAAATTAATGCAACACACATACACACACACAGTGTGCTTCTGCCACCACTTTAGGGTGGGCTGTGTGATAGCAGTACACTTCTAAATGGAGTCATGGGGGACACCCTTGCTTCCTCTGAATCTGTCTTCAGCATGGCAGCCAAAGCAGTCCTTGTAAAGTAGACATCGATCTATAATGCTTTTCCATGCTGTCTAGGAAGTTGCTCATCTCATGACAGATTCAAGGACTAAGTCTTTACAGTGGCTTCTGAGGCCTTATGTGACCTTGTCCCTTTTCTGTTTTCTCTGTCTCAGTAAGTCTTTGTGAACACTTTTTAGCCACATTGGCCTCTGTTCTTCCTCTATTCCTCTCAAACTTATCCTCTGAACTCACTTCTTCTGTAGTGTGCTTCATTCCATAAACCTAAGTTAGAGCCCAGTGACAACCCACCTGTCCATAAGCTCCTAGGTTGTTCTGCTCTCTGTCTTCTTCATAGAATTGGTGTTTCTTGTTGGTCTGTCACCCCCTGCTGGAAGATATACAGCAGAGAGCAAATCAGGCTTTCTTGATCTAGACCAGCACCTGGCCCCTATTTGAACACAGAGCAAACTAGGCAGAGAATATTAGTGAGCAGCATGGGTATTAGTTACTGCACCAGGTGTTCTTGCTCTGTTGAAGACAACACTGGGGCTGTACAGGGTGAAGAGAGCACTTTGGTAAATCTGTGGATTCTGAACAAGTAATCCATGTTGTTGAAAGTAGCAGTCTCCATAGAAATGTGGAAGTGAATGGCACCTGTTCTCTCCCCTAAGGAAATGTGTATTCAGATACTACAAATGTGACTATTAGGTATTTTTCTTGTTGTTGTGACAAAAATACCTGACACAAGCATCATAAAGAAAAGGGTGTTTATTTTGGTTCACCTTTGTGAACACAGTACAGCATGGCAGGGCAGGCATGGTGACAGGAGCTCACATTCCTTAGTTGGCATTGGACCCACAGTCAGAAGGATGAACACTGAGGCCCAGATCTTTCTCCTTTTTATTCAGTCTGGTTCACATCCCCACACGCATGCACACACACACACATGCACACACTCATACTCACACACTCACGGCCTGCCACCACTGTCATTTAGAGTATGTCCTCTATCTTCAGTAAAACTTCTCAAATCTCCTAAAGACATACTGTGTGTCTCTTAGGTGATTCCAAATCCAGTCAAGTTGAAATGAAGATTAACCATTGCAGTTACTTCATATTTGCAGTTGTAACTTAGATTGGCCTTAAATCCACTGATAGGCATTCTCCTAGGACAGAGGAGGAGATTTGCAACATGGGTACAGAGGAGGGGAAAGGGCCATACGAAAGCAGATATCGAGCCCAGTGTGAAATTTTCGTAGGCTGGAGTCATCAGAAATAGAGTTAGAGCAAGGAAAGGATTCTTTCCTAGTGCCTCCAAAGTCTGTGTGGCCCTGGTGATGCTTGACCAATGAGCTTTCACCTTGTAGACAAAAGGTGAGTAACTTTCAGTTTTAAGCCACCAAAGTTTCTGTTCACTTGAGATAGTGGCCCCAAGAAACTAAGGCACAGTGTTTCTTCTCAAGGCTCGGACTTGCTGATCTTGAATCCTGGTCAAATCAAGTGCCTGTTGCTGGCAGGGACCATTCTCCTCAGCCTTTGTCAACAGTACCTGCTGTCACAGCTTTGTTGGCACTCAGAGCTTGGCTAAGACAATTTAACATGGACAGTTCTGGGAGCCACTACATGTGCTAAAGGAAAGCAATTTCATAGACTTTAGCTTTTATTTCTTCCTGTTTCATAAGTTGCTCACGCTTTCTGTAAAGCCGTCTCTCATGGCTTTGGAACATGAGTCTCCTGCAGAGCTCTTGTCTTGTACATCTTAACCTGAGTGCTGATTACCTAAGTATATACTTACATAGAGATTCATTGAGCTGGACCTTTTAGGGTATGTGCACTCTGTGATTTGTTTCTCAGAATAAAAAAAAAAAGGTGCACAGAAATGAACATGTTGGCAAGGATCCCAGTGTGCCTTTATGCCAACATCAATCCCTGTTGACTACTAAAAGAAATTGCAGTGACACAGAATCATGACACCCTCAGAACACTCCTGGAAGGGCTATGCTGGGGTTTGGGCAGTTTGTACAGAGAGCTTTATAGAGACATGCAGAACCTGTTCCACAGCTGAGAAGTGACTCCCTGACCAAAGGTTAGAAGCACTGTTGCTCTCAGCTGCGTGTTCATTCAGGCAGTAAGCTCATGTGAAGATGGGCTTTCAGAACAGTATAGGCACAGAATATCAAGATACACCACAGTTTAGCCCCTATCTGTTGATATAAATTCCTTTTTTAAAAAAGATTATATATGCCAGGCGGTGGTGGCGCATGCCTTTAATTCCAGCACTTGGGAGGCAGAGGCAGGTGGATTTCTGAGTTCGAGGCCAGCCTGGTCTACAGAGTGAGTTCCAGGACAGCCAGGACTACACAGAGAAACCCTGTCTCGAAAAAAAAAAAAAAAAACCAAAAAAAAAAAAAAAGATTATATATATATATATATATATATATATATATATATATATATATCTTTCTGCCTGCGTGTGTGCCTGTAGGCCACAAGAGGGCACTACATCCCATTACAAATGGTTGTGAGCCACCCAGTGGTGGCTAGGTTGAACTCAGGACCTCTGGAAGAATAGACAGTGCTCTTAACCTCTGAGCCATCTCTCCAGCCCCCAGTACAAACTCTTAAGCTCCCTTTTATCAGTGAGTGTGGAGCAGGAGGAAATGCTAGACATCACTGGCGGGAGCACTGGGCCATGGCCCCAAGTCAAGGGCGATTTGGTAGCATGTGTTGAAGTTAAAGAGATTGTACTCTATTCTTCAGAGACACCATGCCTAGGAAGAGTCATCAGATATGTGCATGAATACATGTGTAGGAAGACACTCGTAGACCATTGGATATACCATTGAGGAGCCCTGAACATTGCTGAGTGCCTTCAGCATGGGCATGTCTGTGTTGACTGGCTTATTTTGTAAGTGGGACTCAGCAGTGACAGAATTTACAAAGCACAACAATGAGCCAAATACCAGTCACTAAATACAAAATGATATCAGTTATATAGATTTTTTAAAAACATAAAGTAATAGACACTGTGTTTTAGTCTGGATATTCACCTCTAGGAAAAAGTGTCCCAAGTCTGCAGCAAAAGGAAAGCCTCACGCCAACTTGTAAAGAATTGTCCTTCAGAATAAAGGAGGGCAGTAGTCTGGGGCTGGGGCAACACAGAAATCTGTAGCTGTGTCTTGACTGATAAATACTTAAAGATGGCAATGCATGTGTGAAGAAATGTGTGCACTCTATTTCCCAGTGGCAAATAACGAGCTATATTTTTCCCCTATGTGTCCACAGTGCAGTATGTAAGTGAAGTATGTGTATATGTCAGTTCTTAGGGGCTTAATTTGAAGACAGTGGGCAGATGACACAGCTAGCATAAAATATGACTTGTATATGTGATTATTTTATAGCAGCCCAACCCAGTGGAGCAGCGTTACATGGAGCTCTTGGCCTTGCGTGATGATTATATAAAGAGGCTCGAGGAATTGCAGCTGGCCAACTCCGCCAAGCTTGCTGATCCCCCCACTTCGCCTTCCAGTTCTTCACAAATGATGCCCCATGTGCAAACTCACTTCTGAGGGGATCTCTGTCACTGCACTTGAACTCTAGATAAGTGAAATAGCTGACTTTCGTTCTGGGCATGTGTACAAAGTAGATTTAAAGTATCTGCCTCCGTTTAGAAGTTGAACTAACATCTTATGTGCCTTCTGTAATACATATTGCAAGAAATCTACAGTGTCTGTGTGGCAATCATAAGGAAGGAGTCAAGAGGGGGTTCTGGAAAATCCTCACACTTTTTTTTTTTACAAAGCACTTTTGCAAAGATAAAAGTTAAATTTAATTTACCTCTATATAAATTCTATGTAAACAGCATGTATTTTGTGGGCTTAATTGAAATGTTATTTTAAATCCATGGGGGAAATTTGTTTGTAAAATGGATTTTTCTCCAGCTGCTTACAACAGTTGCTTTGGATTATCTAAAATTAATCCAAATGTGAAAGATGGGTATTACTGCCAAAGCCAAATTGCACTCCACTTCCTTAGCAGATTCCAAGAGCAAGGCGTTTAAATAATTGCCAATTTTGCCGGGTGGTGATGGTGCATGCCTTTAAATTAATCCCAGCACTTGGGAGGCAGAGGCAGGCGGATTTCTGAGTTCGAGGCCAGCCTGGTCTACAGAGTGAGTTCCAGGACAGCCCGGGCTACACAGAGAAACCCTGTCTCGAAAAACCAAAAAAAAAAAATTGCCAATTTTTATACCACCATAAATGGTAAGGTAAAAAGAAAGATGAGCATTTCATCATTTTGAATTTTTGAAATAAAAGGTTCTCCCATCATTTTCAAGAGAAGCATATTTTTATATTAAAAAAGCGATGAGGTTTGATTTTTTTTCCTCAGCATTCTCAGCTTTGCTTTCTAAATTATCCCATGAGCTTGTCTAACACTGAGTCATACTCAGGTTGAAGCAAAACCATAAATAGCACTGTGTGAGGAGCTGGCTGTCTTCTGCTGCTTAGGGGAATATGTTCGCAAACATGCCTCTAGTCAGTGCGGCTTATCTGCTGAAGTGTAGGGGCACTGTCTTGGATGGACGAGCTATGACTAGAGCATCGTTCTTTACAATAATGCCCCAGGTGTACATTTTTAGTGTATTCTTTAAAGTATTCTGTTTGTGTATTCTTTAAGTATTTTGTTGAAATGGTGTTCGGTTCCCTCCCCTACATTTGTGCATAAAAACTGGTTCTGCACATTATTACTTGAAGTACTGGGCAATTTGCTTTTTCAGGTTTTTTTTTCATTTTGTTTTATAGTATGAAATGAAATTTTAAATACAAAATTCTATTTGATATCTGAACTAATTGACTTAGTAAATATATTTGTAAAAGCTAAAGTTAAATCAATGTTTTACAGTGATTTGTAAAGGATTATTTATAGCTAATATGTTTTTTTCAGTGAATTAAGAGAGATTAAATTTATCTTTGTAAATTATTTTATGTCATTGCTTAATGGTCTACCAAATAAGACATCTCAAATATAGTAGTATAATGTATGGATTTTATAAGTATAAAAGATTACTAGATATTCTTTTGCTTTTTGTAAACGCTGTAAATATCTCATAAATTAAAAAAAGTGTTACTCCATAAGAAAAAACAAACTAATACTAATAGCTCACAGGAATTTGTGAAATTTCATGAAAAATATTTTCATGGCAATAAATATTAAAAGACTTGCTGTAATAAATGTATTAACTAAAACCTAACAGTATTTCCAGGGATAGAACTATGTGTATAAGATGTGCATGGTGTCCATCTTATTTGCCTACTTGCTTTTGCTGGATCTACTTCACTTTTTTTGTCACAGTAACAATATCTGTTTTCTTTTGTTGTTGTTGTAATTGTTGTTTGACCTGAAGTCTCATATAGCCCAGGTTGGCCTCCAGCGCAGTGTGTCACCAAAGCTGGCCTGGAACTTGTGATCCTCCCGCACTGCCAGACAGCCTATTTCCACTCTAACTAATAAATGGCCAAATAAATATACCCTTCTTGATGGACAGATCAAGAAACCTTTTGGAAAGTGCACCCCAAACATACACACGCCAGGAACAAAAGGAAAGAAAACACCTTACCTTGACAAGTTGGTCCAAAAAAAAAAAAATTAAGGAGTCTCAAGTTTCCAGGCTGTCCTCCATGTAGTTGAGGATGACCTTAGGATTCTTGATCCTCCTATCTCTACTTCCCAAACACTAGAATATGCTACCACACCCAGTGTTTATGTAATACTGAAGATTGAATGTAGAGCTTCCTGCATTTAGAGACTCTACTGACTAAGCCACATCCTCTACCAGCAAAGGACTTGCTAATGATGTGTGTATGATGCATAATCATTCATGGTGATTAAAAAAATAACTGGTTATGAAGGCAAACATCTAGAGCTTGAAATCAATTTACATTTATATCAAAGTAATGATAAATAAGTAAGCCTGTAGAGAAATCCAGAAGGACTTATAGTTACTAATTATTTGAAATTTGTTCCTAGAGTAGACTTAGAAGTATTGTCAAAAGCAGGATAATAATTAGATTTTCTTGAATGTGGTAATCATCTCATTATGAATCTGTCAAAAACCTGTGTACCATAGATGTATAGTATAGAAGAAATTTCTTAAAGACTGTTAAAGAATAAAAGGAACTCATCAGGAATACACATTGAAACCACAGTGAGGCGCTATGCTGCACCTTTGTATCGCAAGCCTTGTTTTCCAGGAATCGACCCTAGCTCCTGAGAAGTACATCACCACTGAGCCACAGCCCCAACTTTTTAATATTTTACTTTGAAATAAGATACACTAAGTAGCCCAAGTAAATTTAGGATTTATAATCCTTATGCCTCTGTCTCATAAATAGCTGGATTATAGTCCCCCATCCTTGCCCCCAGGCTTTGCCATCTTACAAGCATTTAAAAGTCTACCAGTCATAAGCATTGGTGAGTAGGAGCTCTGGTATAATACTTGGAAAACAGTTGGTATTCCCTGTTAAGTCAAATGACATAATATTGACCTTTGACATAGTATTTCTACTTTTGAGGAATGAGAAAATTTCATGCCGTGTTCAGAGAAGCATTGTTTGGCATAGCCAGGAACAAACTAGAAATAAGGATCCACCTATAGTAGGCCACATAGGTTGTGTCACATTCTTAACAACAGAATACTGCACACTAGGATAAAATTGCCATGTGGTGGTGTCCAAACATCACATAGATGAATTCCATAAGCATGGTAACTGAAAGAAGCCAGCCACAGAGACTATAATGTCATTTTAATCATCTAAGTTCAAAAGTAATGTTCAAAAATATATGAGTGGTAAAACAGAAGCAACTCATCACAAAACAAAGGAAGAAAGTAGAAGCATGTAGTACATAAGATAGGATGCAGTGTGTGTAGAATTCAAAGAAAATTGGCTTGCCTGGATTTCAGTATGCTCAAGCCTGGCACAAAGTGACAAAGAAGTCGGTGGGGCCATGTGTGAAAGGTGGATTTGAGAGCACTTTGCTGAACATGAAAAGCCAATTTGAGGCTACCATATATGGGGACTGAATGTGGATGAAGACACGTTACAGATTTTAGAAGAATCAGTAGGCTGTGGCTAGAAAGATGAGATGGAGAAGAAAGACAGTGCAGATTGAGGTCTCAGCTTTTCCAGGTTTCCAGAGTAGGGGTGCTCAGTGTAGACTGGGATTTCTAACATAGGGCATGTCAGTAGTGAAACAATTTATGGTAATTCCAAGATGGGTTTGAGACATTCGGTATTTGATGAAGTGTCTGATACAATACTTAAATTTAAGCCTGGGGCTCACAAAAGAAGAAAAACACATGGGGAAACAATCCAAAGCTATGGAGAGCATTGTCCATGGAATTGTAGAAAAGTGATGAGCCTCAAAATTTGAGAGGTAGATTGAGGAGGAAGAGTGATGGGGAAGAGGCATGGAAAGGAATCACTGCATGGTGGCAGTTAAGGGGAGAAGTCATTTCATGGCACAACTCATCTGGTGAATCTACATATGGAAAATTGTTCGGGTTGGATGCTGCAGGGTCTCTCACAGGCTTACTAGAATGCAGCTTCATTAAGGCAGAAGCCAAATACCAGTGAGTTAAAAGGTCAGGCTGTGGCTGTACACGCCTTTAATCCAAGAACCCTGGAGGCAGAGGCAAGTGGATCTCTGTGTGTTCAAGGCCAGCCTGGTCTACAGAGTGAGTTCTAGGACAGCCAGGGCTACCCAAAGAAACCCTGTCTCAGGAATGGGAGGAAGCTGGGGGACTAGCTCAAGCAACTAAGGAGCAAAACTGAGGGACATTGAGATGAGAAAAGTATTGCTTTTTCATCATGAACCACTTTAGCAACACTAAGACTGGAAGAAACTGAGGTAGCCCATGTTCTGGACTCTGGCAAGGAGCAGTGGTACAGAGGACAAAGAATTTACAAAGAATTAGCACAACTTCCTAAGTGTCATTCAACAAGTGTCACCTTCCATAAAACTCTCCTCCCCCTTGTAACTGGCCAGACTGTTAGTCACACATATCACATATTTAAACCCTGCCCTCATGTCAGAACCCCAAAGATAGACTTTGTGAGCATGTGCTCCTGGATGTCTTTGTCCCTCTTGCCAGTGTGGCCATTTTAAACGTCTCCTTTTTCTGCTTTTCACTATGAATTTGGTTATTTTGTTGGGGATGGTAGCTGAAACTGACTTTTTGGGACAAAGGCTGAGGCCCCTCAATCTGATAACACCCTTTTTCTCATCTTAGATTTTCTGCTCTAAGCTCCACTTATCCCTGTTACTCCCCTTATCATGGCATATGTCATTCTCAGTCGAAACTGTGTGCTGTATGTCTTTTTTTCCTCTGCTTCTTGGCTGTAATGCACAGCAGGGTTTCTGACATGTGATTGGAATACAGTGTATATTTATTTGAATGCATGCATGGATGACAGGATGATCAGGAAGTATTAGAGAGTTGTTTATAAAGAAAGGAGAAAGAATGGATAATTTATGAGAAATCATACCAGAAAACAATGTGTTTTAGGGAGGAAAAGAAGCCTGTGGAGAACAAAGTCACCGGTAGGAAAAAGTAATAGTGCATATAGTAAGGCTCCAGAGTGAGGCTGAACTGCAGAGCACAGACTGACAAGTAGCAGAATAGCACAGCAGGCCATCCCCACTTAGGCTAGTGCACAGGGATAGGAATGGAATCTGATTATTTTTTCTTTTATTGAAAATAGATTTTTTCCACATAATATATCCTAATTGCAGTTTACCCTCCCTTCACGACCCCAGCCTTTTCCTCCCCCCCATCCAGATCCATGCCCTTTCTCTCATTAAAAAACAAACATTTCAAAGGGAATAATAAAATAAAGTATAATAAATATAGTAAGATAAAATAAAACAAATACATAGAAATAAGACAAAACAAGCAAACAGAAGGAAAAGAACCCAAGAAAAGGCACAAAAAGCAAATGCAGACACACAAATCCACTCAATCACACAAAAACTGAATCCCATTAAAAAAAAAAACAACAACTGAATCCCATAAAAGCAAAAAAAGCAGAAGCCATTATATATACACAAAAGGACCTGTAGGGTAAAATGAGAAAAAAATCAACAAAATAACAACAATAACAACTAAAGATTTAAAACAGAAAGACAAAGCTCTGACAGTATGAGACAAGAAACCACTAAAGATGCTGCTGGGTTCACTGTCATTGTCATCTCCCGCTGGGCATGCTATGTACCCTTAAGGGTAGTTTGTTAACCCAGTGAGATGATGGTGGAGAAAACTTAATTTTTCATATTCAAGTGGTTATCAGTTGGATATAGTGTCTAGGTTAGGAATGGAATATGTCTACTTCTTCTTTCAGCTCTAGTACTCTATCTGCTGCAGGTCTTGTATCTGCTGCCACAGTCTCTGTGAGGTAACATGTATGCCAAGCCTGCTATGTTTAGAAGGCCTTCATCTGTTGATATCTTCCATCCTTTCTGGCTCTAGTTGTTTTTCTTTTTTTTTTAATTCTCTCATATATTATTCCAATTGCAATTTCCCTTCTCTCCCCTTCCCCCAGTCTCCTCCCCCAGATCCATCCTTCCTTCTCAGAGTAGGCCTTCCAGGTACAACAACCAAACCAGAATAACAAGCTATAATATGACTAGACACATACCATCACATCAAGGCTGGGCAAGGCAACCCAGTAGGAGGAACGCAAAAGAGTCATCCCCACT